AACATCAGGACCTTTTCAAACACCAGTGAGAAGGTCACAGAGGCTTAGGTGTAACTCTGTGGCTTGGCCTGGGGGTGATAAGGAATGCCCGTTGTGGGAGATACGAAAACTTGAGCACCAGTACTTCAAAGCTCTTGAAGTATATGTCAGGCCTTTGTCCAATTATGAGCTCTAGGAATCCTAAAATTGAAAAGCAGTGGAATAAATATTGTATTGCTTCTTATTTCATAGTCATAAATCATAAGGACATAAGCCTCGTGGGTGAGTTTCCATAGGGAGAGAATTTGTAATTGTTGGACAGACATGAGAAGGTGCCAGTATACCCTGTAGACCTATCTGCCAATCTATAGACTCATAAGTTTTATAGTTTGATATAAATATAATATCAGCTGTGCAATAAATGTACTGCAATATATATGTACATATATATTCATATGTATATATAATTGGGCTGGGAGATTGTGAGGAAACTATAATTGCCAGTCAGTTCTGATTGTTAATCTGTACATATAATGAGGAATTCTGCCTAATAAAATGAGTTCTGGAATAAACAGAACCTGTACCTCCTGCTCTGTATGTCAGCTTTGGCCTCCATCATGGAAGGGTTAGAAGGCAAGCCAAAAGTGAAATGCTGGAATTCTTCAGGTTGAGGAGGTATGGTAAAGAAGCAATCTTGTAAATCTATAACAATTATGATTTTGATTTCTAGGGATGACCATGGGAGACGGCAGGCTGTAAGATTCCCCTTGGCTTCAATAAATTTTATTTGATTTCTTAAGATCTTGTAAGAGTCTATAATCCTGATTTTCCTAAATAAAAATATTGGGGTAATTTAAGGGCTGGTGGGGGGCTTTATATACCCAATATTTAAGATTTTCCTCCACCAGACGGGTAGCAGTTACAATTCTTTTAACATTTAAAGGTCATTGCTTAACCCAGATAGGAGCATCAGATTTACAGGGTGTCAACCTGTAACTCTTTAGATGATTAGAATTTCTGCTGAGAACAAATATATGCATTAATATGTGCATTAATGGTAGAACATGCACTTGAGAAGCTTTAAAGAGGAAACTTTTTCTCTTAGGTGTACCTATGGAATAGTAAATGCATGGTCAGCAGATGAGAGAAGAGGGTATCAGGCCAGGGAGAGGGAAAGCTCCCCTTCTCCCACAGAGAAGAAAAAGAAGATTTGCTGGGTGGTGGTGGCGCACGCCTTTAATCCCAGCACTTGGGAGGCAGAGCCAGGCAGATCTCTGTGAGTTTGAGGCTGGCCTGGTCTACAGAGCAAGATCCAGGAAAGGTGCAAAGCTACACAGAGAAACCCTGTCTCAAAAAAAAACAAAAAACAAAAAACAACAACAACAACAAAAAAGATTTGCAAGTGGGAGACATAGACTGTAGTCAGGTCACATTCCTCCCAGTCCTTCTTGGATTGTGAGCATTGGTAAATTTTGATCTCCTGAAGCTTATGAGAACCTTCTTAAAAGACAAAATCTTTAGACATATTAGCAACATAACAGTGGTGAATTTTGTCAGAGCAAAATTATGAATCCTTGGAGCCTCAACAAAATAACAAGATAGCCAGAGAATGAAATCTGAAATGTTTCATTTTTATATTTCTATCTATCTATCTATCTATCTATCTATCTATCTATCTATCTATCTATCTATC